CTTAATAAATTTTGTGTAAGCCTTCCACTCTTCTGTGGCAGAGTTTTTATTTTCTAATCAGCCTGGTTGGTTCCATACCAGAGATTTTCAGACTGATTTGTTCTGATTTCTTCTGCATCTGTGAGAGCGCATCTGTTTTTGCGGCAGCCTTGGCATGGGTATTGACAAAATTCCCTATTTGTACCTCTGTGTGGTTTTTGACACGTGCTTTTAAATTCCATGGAAGCAGTACGTCCTAGAGAACTGCGGATGTCATTTTGTGACAGCTACCAGGAAGAAACACCAGCAAGGCTCTGATGCCTCTTTGTGATGAAGAAAGTAAACTATAACAGAAGTCTCTGTTGTATCAGCTCCCTAAGATTTCTCGTAACTGTGCAATGGTATACTTTGAAATGAAAAATGCTATAATGCTCACGAGTAACTGTGAGATTTCCTAAGCTAGTCATTTGTATCCCATATACGCCCTGAAGTTTGACAGTGAACCTCTGTCCTTATGCTGATTTCTTTAAAGGAGCACCTATGTTGTTCACTAGTAACAAATGTGAAGAGGGATGATGTTCTACTCTTGCCAGAAAAAGACAAAACAGTGAGCACGTCTTGTAAATTCTGTTATTTCATGCTCAGTTTGCAGGAAGCTGGACTTGGAGGCTTTCCCTTGGCTTGTACTCATTCAGTCTTTCCCAACAGTAGTCCCAGCACGAGTCCTGACTGTGTTCCAGCTCCACGTGAGGACACGATCAGGTCCTCCACTTTGCCCCGGTTTTTGTTCAGGCGTGTAGCCCAGTGTTTCAGAGAGGTGTTGAGTAACTTTTAATCGATGCCTAGTTTAGACAATGAGGCAATCTGATTCATTGTGGCAGATGCATCCAGCTCACATGCTGAGATCTCTTGAGACTTCTAAGTTATTATTATTTTATTACTAACATATCTCTAAAGTTTTATTCAGTGCTGATGTGAAGCATGAATAGCACTGGAATTAGTCCAACACTCTGCATTTTTATATCGTTTTGGTGTAGGCTCCCAGAGGACATGGACTGGACTCTGCCCTTCAATTGCCCATGTGGATGTAACACCCCTTGGCAGGCACACAGACCTTTACAAATGGCACAGTGCAGAGTCTAATCCCTGGATGTGCACAAGTGTTGAATGACGCCCCTGAGGCTTTAAATGTGAATTCAGCAAAATCTTGAAGCAAATAAGCAGGTAAATAAGACATGGCTAATCTAGGGTCCCTGTAAGTCAGAAGGGAAGGCAGCAGTAGGAAGGGCAGGAAATTTCTTTCTTTGGGCTAAAGAAGTATCCTGCGCCAAACACAAGTGGATGTCTCCATTATGTCTAGAAGACAACAGAAACACCACTGCCAAGAGTTTCTGTGGATCCTAAAGCTGCTTTGATTAAATGTCTTAAGCCTCACTAAGTGACAGTGGTCTCTGCAGCTAGAAGCAGATAGGTGTTGTTTTGCTGTGGTAGAATGTCATGTGTAACTTCAGTTACGACTCAAGGATGTGACACTGCACAGCATCTTGGCTTAGACAAGCAAATCTCAAAGCCTTAATTATTTACCAAGTACTAGTTCTTCAGGTATCTGCTCAGAAAAGCAAAGCAATCAAACCTCCAGCTGCTGTCTCAGATGTGCAAAACCACTCCTCATGACTGTCATGACATGACATGATCTGATGTGGCACGACATGACATTACAGTATCCCAGTAAAGTTAAACAGAATCATCTCTTATGCAGATGTTCTTATTTCATTGCAATTTTTTTACAGTTTCAAGTGTTTCTGAAAAACAGCAGTAAGTACTTCTGAGGGTAAGAGGTATACCTTTGGAAGTGTAAAAGCTGATGTTATGCTGTGTTAATGAAACATGCCTATAATTGTACAATTTAATAAAACTGGAAAAAAGGCTTCAAGTGTGCAAAGACATTTAATTTCTTACATTTCCAGATATGCTTCGCCCCACCATATTCAATTAGACTAAAGATGTAAGTTAAGATTAATATAGTCTTTAAGAAAAGTAAATAACAATAGAACTACAGAGCCCAACTGTTCACTGTAGGTAAGAACATTTACTGTAGAAGAATATTACTGATCCCAAAGATATTTTTTTAATGCTGATGAAGCAAATAATAATTTTTTTCTCTTTTTGAGTTTGTAACAAATTTTCATCTTTATTCATTGCACATCTAATTAAACCTTTTCTGCAACTGAAAAGCTCACTGAATTGAACAATTACTACATTTAATATGAAGCTAAAATGCTTTTGGTATTTCAACTCTCATTACCACTTGCTCTTCAAATAAATCCAGGAAATCCTTTAATTACAGTTATTCCAGTTCTACAGGGAGAAGTGAGCCTTCATAAAGCTGCTGTAAATGTCAACAACAAGCTTGCTTCTGCATCTTTTAGAAATTTTAATTAAAACCACTATTTTATCTACTGTTTTGATCTGTGTATTTGTTACTTTGACATCATACTGATGGGCATGGTTTCAGAATAGAGATTTGGCAAACATTATGAATAATTTGAGCCTATCTCTTTTCAAACGGCTTCAGCTTTGGCGGGAGGGGGGTGGGGGAGAAGGGAGGAAGTAGCAATGTTGCCTTAACTTTTCCTGTTAGTTTGTATCCAGCTTAAAGACTAGATAAAGTCTAATGTCTAAATAGCTTAAGACCGAATTGGACAGAAGGCAGTGTTTTGCTACAGAGCAAAGATTAAAGTATAACCTGACTGAACAATTGAATCTGTACCAGTACATGTAACTATGTCCGGAAATAACAGCTGACACAAGCAATTGTAAGGCCCAGTTACTCAAACATCAACCACCACAGGTCAAACACTAAGGGATTAAGACTGTGCAGAGAATTGTTAATGTGTTTTCAACCACTAGTTGCAAATGCAAATAGCCCTGGCACAGTGGTATGGTAATGGAAAACAAAATTCTTTTAAAATGGATGAGTGATCATAGAACAGCATGGTGTACAAAATTGTGAGTTTTACTTTTAATAGCTGCAAAGTTATAATTCCAAGAGTGAATAAAGTCACTTAGGGAATCACCTGTCTTTTGGAAGAATATCTGACATGATTCGGGGAAGGAGTCCCAGGAAAATTTTGCAATCCCACCCAAGCCCTCCTCTCACATATAAAGCGTGTACAGAACAAGTGTCTCCAACTTGGCAACAGGTGACCACACTCTGCAGACCCTCACCTGGAGGTGGACAGGGGGATACTGAACTTTACATCATGAGCCCCTTGTCTGAAACACTGTTAGTGTAGGGGAAAGTGTATCAGGCTGAAAAACTGAAATATTGCTTTCTTATGCCCCTCAGGATCAGATATGCCTCATTTAGTTCCAGTGCCTATCTTCCAATAAAGGTTGTACAGATTTTACTTGAGACTGGGGCAGGATTGAAGTTGTCGTTTCCACCAGATGTGTTGCCCAGCTGAGGATATCCATCCTTCCCAATCCTCTGGCTGACCTTGCTGGGACACGTACATGTACACCCTGCCCACATTTCCCTCAAAGGCAGCTGTGGGCAGGGTTTTGGCTCTACATCTGGCTTTTGGAGGTCTGAGATGGAGGCAGGGGAAGGCAGGTGGCAGAGGCTGTCAGTGCAGGTTTTGCCCTCACTGTTGAGGGTCACAGGGCTCACATCCAGAAGAGGGCCATGAAGATGGTGAAGGACCTTGAGGGGAAGCCATGTGAGGATCGGCTGAGGGCACTTGGTCTGTTCAGCATGGAGAATAGGAAACTGAGAGGAGACCTCATCACAGTCTACGACTTCCTTGTGAGGGGAAGAGGAGGGGCAGGCACTGATCTCTGTGGTGACCAGTGATAGGGCTCGAGGGAATGGCCTGAAGTTGTGGTAGGAGAGGTTTAAGTTGGATATTAGAAAAAGTTTCTGAGAGCAATAATTCTCTATGGTTCAGTAATTTTGCACTGATCTTCACAATGTGAATAATTCTCTATAGTTTAGCAATTTGCTTTCTGCCTTTATAATGTAGGTTTCTGCTAAGGTAGTTGCGCAATAAGGTTTATGAATGCTTTAATTAAAGTAGTCATAACATAAGTATCCAAGTTTTGGATAAGAGATACTGAACAAAGGCACTTCATAATCAGTTGTAAATACATTGCTCAATGGACAAGTGTAAGTAAAGTTCAAGCTCCCAATAGCCACCAGAGACCATCAGAAGACCCCCTACAGACCAAACAAGGACTTCCGAAGAACTTCCGAGAACTAATTAATATATATATGAAGTTTATAAGAGAAATAGTGAATATGTTAGACATTTACTGAATATGTAAAATTGCAAATAAACGTTAGCTACACTGAGCCGAGAACGGGGCACACACATGATTAGATGAGCTGTCCTCCCTTGTGTCTCATGCTGATAACAGAGGAATGCCTGCCTGCTAATGCTCACAAATTGAGTTTTAGGGGTCACTTATTTGCCGATTTGCAGTAACAGTTCTTCACCCAGGGTGTGGTTGGGCACTGAAACAGGCTCCCCAGGGAAGTGGTCACAGCACTAAGCCCGTCAGAGCTCAAGAAGCGTTCGGACGACACTTTCGGGTGCATGGTGTGACTCCTGGGGATGGTCCTGTGCGAGGGCTGAGGGCTGGACTCGATGATCCTTGCGGGTCTCTTCCACCCGAACATACTCTGTGACTGCATGACCTGCCCGTGGCCGCCGCCCCGGGAGGACACGGCGGTGGGCGTGGGACCCGCAGGACCCCGCGCGCGGCTGGGGGCGAGGGAGGCGAACTACAGCTCCCGGAGTACAGCTCCCGGAGTAAAGCTCCGGGACTACAGCTCCCGGCGTGCAGCGCGGGGGCTGCGCCGCTCTGATTGGGCTGTCCCTGCCCGCCTCCCCCGCGTGACGGCTGGCGCGGAGCTGTCGCCGCGGACCCCCGCGCGCCGGGGCCGAGGAGCCGCATGGCGGCCGCCGTGTCGTGGGGGCGGCTCGCGCGGGGGGCGCGCGGGGCGGCCGCGCGCCGCGCCTGCAGCAGCGGTGCGCGCGCCAGGGCTCCCTTGGCCGCCGCGCAGGTGAGGGGGTGAGGGGGGCGGGAATGAGGGCTTGGGGCCGGGATACTGCCGGGCGGGGGGCGCTTGCCGAGCCGTGCCGTGCCGTGCCGTGCCGCCGCAGGTCGCGTTTGGGGCTTGGCGTCCCGTGCCGGTGCCTTGTCCTTAAGAAGACGTAGTTCATGGTGGGACACTTGTAACCGTGGCTGCGCCCGCCGGGGTGAGCGGGGGGTCTTGGGCGCCGCGGGCAGGCGCGTTCCGTGGAAGTGCAACCTGTCCCTAAAATTTTGCAACGTGTCCCGGACTGCCCGGTGGCTTGTGCGGTGAACATGACCTGGTTATGTATAGGGAGGGGGAGGGAAGAGTCAACAAAACGTGTAGTAATACATAATTCTGTGTCCTTCCTTTGTTGAAATGTCTCCCTCACTTTGGAAGTACGTGGGATACCCAGTCTCCTGGACCGAGCGGGTTCTGTGCTCTTGCCCAGTCAGTCAAAGGAGAGATTACACAACGGAGTTTGATCAGCTCGGGTCAAAAGCCCTGTGGTTTGGCAGATTTCGGTGGTTGTGCTCCCGTGGTCACACGAGCTCGCACTGGACCTGTTTGTTCCGCTGCTGGCGCGAAATCAGCACAGGTGTTGCCCAGATACAGCTCCTGTCAGTTTAACTCTCGGTCCCCCAGGTGGATTCGGTCTCTTGGTGTCCAAATGCAGGAGAAAAAGCTGCACGCAAAGGCAAAGGTTCTGTGACTGTCCAGCAGAAATAGGGCATGGCGCGCAGCGAAAACCCAGCTGGGACGTGATTTACTGAGTTACTTGTGATTGCATGGATGGCTTTAACAAGCAGAAAATAAGCTAAAGCTACTAGTGACAGACTCTGTGTCGCCAGAATTGAATCCATTCACTGCCACTTACTTATTTACAGGAAGCCAAATGCATTCACGCATTGCTGTCTTGAGCGCTTACTTCAGTCAGAAATCTGGGAAGGTTATTGAATTTGGTTGTTTCCTTTGTTCTTCCTAAGCAATGAACGTTTTTATAAATTCTGATCAGAAATACTTTTCACTACTTTCTATAGATCTGGTAGCTCTAACAAACATTTAGGAATACTTTTGAGAGAGCTTGGTTACACCATCCATCTCTGAAAGGCCTACTCCCTTAGGGGACAAAAGCCACAGTGGCTGGAAGAACAGAATGGGTGATATGTATTTGTGGCATTGTGACTGTGAGAGGTATGCCAGGGCACTAATGGCTCATACCCTGCAGGGTCTGAGAAGCAAGCTAATGCAAAAACAAAGACACTGAAAACTTAGCAGCTGTACAGTGATATTATACTTATTGCTTCTTTCTGTTCTCAGTCTCTCCTGGAATTCATCTGTAGAGAGGAGCAATTGGCATTGCAGCCATAGGGGACAGCAAAATGTGCTTTCAAATGACAGAATGATCAAACATTCAAAATAAATGTGAATACTGCTTGACTGTCTTCTGTGCTAGAGCTGAAAGTATTCATAGGTTCTGTTTAGTTTCATGAGATTTCGGAGATGGGGTGGGTGCAAAGGGGAGAAGAGCCCCTTTTAAAATGGTCATTCCAACTGTGGAAGGAAGGACCCTATAACACAGGAGCTTCAGGAGACGGCTGAAAGGCTGTGCCCAAGGCCATCCGTTGCAAGTCTTTAGTTTGGGTTCCAAACAGTGGGGTCGGTATAGTTGCTGTACTGGTATTGTGTGGTAAACAATTTGTTTGTGTCTTAGTATTAAGGGTACAGTTGTCAGTCTCAGGTGTGCACAGTGTGGAGTTCCATTTTCTAAGACTAGAAAAGGGCAGGTAGCAACAGGCGCTCTGAAAGCAGCAATTTCAGAGTTGTTTGGTTGTGTGCAAGCGTGGTTTGGGGTTTGTTTTGTTTTGTTTTGTTTTTACTAATTCGCAATTAGCAAAGAAAGTTGGATGCCACCCTGTTATCTTGTATGCCTGATGATATATGTCCAAATTATATTTTTTAATTAAAATAAGTATGTAGGATGACCTGTTTCTACTACAAAACTGTATTTTCTAGTATGCTAGAAAAAGTAATTTCTATTTATTTTCTTATTTTTTATTTTACTGTAAGCTGGAAGTTTACTTGCAAAAATTCCAGCTTTTTGAAACAAAGGAGGAAGATGAGAGGACTCTTGAGACAGTGAGGCTTGGGAGCAATGACGCTGAGGAAATTAGCATATTTTTTAAAAAATCCTGCTCCAGATGTATCATGTCCAGTAAAGGTCTTGATACAAAGTTTCACTTCTGTTTTCTCCATCTGCTCATATACCTCCTGTAATCCAAACACAGCCACCTGAATTTTTTTGTGGCCACAATGAAACCTTCACCGCCAGGATGAAGTGGAAAGCCCAGCTTACCCAGAAAGTCCTCATGTGGCCCTTATTGTCTTCCAGTCATGACTGAAGCTCTCTGTGTGCTGACGCTCCATTTTGCGGGTAGCTGGTTGCAGTCCCTGGGCAGTGCTCGCTGTGCCAGTACCCACAGCTGTGGCATGCTGTTTGGGGTCAGCTGTTGGGCAGCAGCTGCTGAGCCCTCAGACAAACATTTGTCTTGGAATTCTCAGCTTAGACCTCATTCTGGCACTTGGCCTACTTAGACCCATTTCAGCCTCTGCGGTTGTCTTATTTTCGTGTTGAACCAAGGACATTATGTCACTGCTTCCCTGCAGACTGAGATGCTAAAGGTGAGGCATGAAATAGAAGAGCTTTAGCTGAGTTCTGTCCATGATGGTGCTGCAGCAGCTTTAGGTGCTACACTGAGGCGGCAGCATTGGTGCACAGACCCAGCAGGATTGCAGGAACTGAAAGAGCCAGCAGGTGCCAGGGGCAACGCTAACAGTGGCATCAGTACACAGGTTGTGGTAGTCCCTGTGCAGAAGTGTTTGCAAGCATTACTGTTTCATATTGCACGAGTATTACTGGGGATGGTACTTGAACTTCAGCTTGATGAATAGATAAGAGTTCTGTTCTCTGCCCCCTTGTGTTTAGCTGAGCCTTTCTATTATCTGTCAGTTTGTGGTGTTCCTGGTAGTTATTGATACCTCTGGTGACAGCTTCCAATTTTGCTGCATTGTTAGAAGAGTTCTGGAAATCACAAGTGGATTGGCAGGTCTGAAGGGTTGACAGCTTGTCAAAATATAGCTGCTAGGTGCAGTCATCTAAGCTCTCATTCTTTCAGTACTAGTATAGAATATGTGATTGACAGCCCAGAGAGAGAACCTGTTTTTTTCACGGATCAGATAAAGCACACCGTGTGACAGGTCATACTGCTCCATGTGCAGGAGTGTCTCTCCTGTTGACTTTGGAGAGAGGGGAGTGGAGGCTTGTGGGTTATAGCGATACCTTTTGAGTGAAAAAGTTATGTGGTTGGGCACTGATATGTTAAAATACCAATACCTATCTACCTTTTCCTATTTCAGGAAACTGAATAACCATTTCCCCGTAGCCTAAGAACTGTAGCAGGCAGCTTTTGTTTTCTTCTTGCTCCAATAGCTCTCACACAGGCTGCAAGCAATTAGGTTCAACCTCAACCTGTTCTTCCCCTTCAGAAAATCATACTTACACAACAACCTGAGAGAATGTTTCGTCCTTGTCCTGAGTTCACAGGAAGGCAGCTGAGTTTATCACATTTGGCCTTTCCTGTGGTATAGATAAAAATATGAGTCAGTGCTGGGTGCAGTTTTGGTAATTCAGGATCTGCCTGTGCTGGAGCTCAAGCTGGTGCTACTGAATTCCTCATGGGTGTCTCCTAATTCCACTGTGCTGACATCAAACTGGACAGACAGTGAAATAACATCTTAAAAATTCCATCTCCCTGTCATTCTTTCCTCCCAGACAAGCCCATCTCTGTACACAACAAGAAGTTGATGGAAAGAAGTTCTAGTAGCTTTGGAAAACGTTTTTCTTTTCCCCATTCTAAAACCCACTACTTTGCAGCAGAGAGCAAAAGCTAGTTACTTCTAATAGAAACTTTGAAGTTTATTGACACCAACTGCCTGCTGCGTGCCTGTTCTTTTAATGCTGCTTCTTAACAATTCACTTTGGAGTAATTATTGAAGGGCAGTGTTATTCCTGTTATTTCCTTGCCTGCGACAGCCATGCAGGTGCATGGCAGACCAGGAAAAGAACAGCCTCCTGTGTCCCATTCCAGTGGTGGCTCCTTCTGAGAACAGGAAATTGTTTTAAGCATCTTAGTGTCCTTGCAAGTATGCAGTTTTGGCTTCCATTATATACAAGCATTAAGATCTTCCTCTCTTGCCACCTTTCTGTCAGGAAGGACAACTTTTCACTTCTTTCTCTACCTGTAATGCACACTCTAAAAGCAGGAGACGGGAGGTGCATACTAATCTGTCTTCAGGTAGAGTGTGTAAGGAAGCCTGATCCTGAAAAAGATGCAAACAAGAGTTACTGAGAAAGAAACTGGAGAGCTCTCACAAAAAGGGCTCAGATAATCTTAATAAGCATGGTAGTGCTTTCACTCTCAAATGTGAACACCTTTCCAAAATAATAGGAAGGAGAATGTCAGAAATCCAACCAGGCCAGAAAACAGCCCAGTTTTCAAGAGAAAAATACTTTTGTGTTGAGGTTTTCTGAGTTTGTCAGATTTAAAATATCTTTAGATTTAATCTGTTCAGGGATGAGTTTTCAAACTGGGGAAGAAGAGGAAATGAAGTCTGGATATTTACCTGGGCTCCTTGACTTAACCCTGCTTGTATTCTGAGAAACCCTCATAATTAGTGCAAGAGAGCCAGCATTCCTCTCAAAGCAAAGGATTTTCAACTTGGGATTTTTTTGGCTTGCTGAAGAAGGAAGAGATGAAAGAACACAGGGAAGGGTGAACAGCATGTGGCCACAGAGGGGTTGCCACTGTCAGCTTCGGTGGTGCTGGGAGGGAAAGCCAGGTCTGGGGAATGCTGGCCTTAGGCCCCATACCGCTGTGCTGCTGAGACCACTGCTTCTGAAACTGAAACTGAAAGGGATTGCATTCTTCTGGCAGAAAAGCCATTGCATGGAAACTGTTTCTGCAGTTTTAGCAGGGGTAAACAGATGCTTTCTGGGGTTTGAAATAGCCACTTTTTATCTCCTTTATCTTCTCTAGCCCCCCCACTGCCATAGATGTTTTTAGAAATCTTCTTATTTTACATCAAAGCTGTTTGCATCAAGAATTATAGTGGATTGTTTAAAAGGTAGTGAAAAAATTGTGCTGCCAAGAATGACTGCTCCTGTAGTGTTAGCACAGCTGGAAACAAAATTGCTGCAACTGCTGATGGCTGAAGTTGGGTCTCTCCCCAGATAACCTTTGCTGTCTGGCTGATTTGGTCACTGAGGGTCTCTCTGTCTTCCACCCACCACAAATCTTTCTTAAAAATTTTTTCAGAATAAAATGTTTTGAGGAAGCATACCTGGGTTTATTTTAGTTGGCCTTTTCTAGACTTCTTGCAAGGTCTGTGTTGCAGTACTGTGGAGGGTTAACTCCTATAGTTACTAGTAATGACTGGAGCCAGGGAGCTTGTGTTCCAGCCCTGTGTGTTTCTGCCAGTCCCTTGGCATTGTCCCATACATGCTGATTTTAGTAGGTCTGTTTTTCACTAGATATAAGTCATGACACTTGCTTAGGTAAGCAGTTTAAATGCCCATTTGTCTGGTTCCTCATTCTACATCTAAAGTTTATCTCAAAACTTTATTTAATCCTTTGCCTGCTGCAGCCTATCAGGACAAGTTAGTATTATTTCGGCTTGAGGCACAATTCTGCAGCTGATTCTCACACACACACGCTTTGTGAACACAATATATACAGAAATGGAGTTTTATGTGCTTTTTCACTGGAGATGAAATTCACTGTATGTTCAGGAGTTGTTCAGCTTTCTTGTAGTTTTCTTGGCTGACTATTAGATGTCTGTGTGTGGTTAACTAACAAAGACCCAGTGAAGGTGGTTCCATTAATTATTTTGTGTTCTCTGTTTTGTTTTATGATGTTAGGCAGCTGGCCTCTATCATGAGTTATTAAATTTGCCTCCTATAAAATGTTAATTTAACTGTTATGTAGTAGATAAAAAGACTTGGCAGGGATTGAATTATGTTGTTTGTAAATGTTTGTATGTAGTGCCTGAACCAAGCTGATAAAAGTATGAGGGTTAACTTTGGCTTTTCTGCAGTACTGTGATAAGAGTTGGTTCAGTTAGTGTGTTTTACATAGGGTATCAAAATGTTTTTCAAAAGTAGCAGAGTGGTTTCAGCTCTGCTTTACAGCTGTAGAAAAATAGAGATATAACATGGTAGCTTGAAATTCATGGGCTAAAAGCAATGGAACTCCCTCTGTTTAGACCTTACTATAACCGACAGTCTTCTGTCATTGATGGTATGTACTGATGTTTTTAAGTTATGTGTTATAAACTGTATTTGTTTGCAGCTACTAATTTAGGATATTTATTTTGATACCTAACGTAATCATAGAGTCACAGAATGGTTTGGATTGGAAGGGATGTTAAAGATCATCCAGTTTGAACACCTTGCCACGGGCAGGGACACTTTCTACAACAACAGTTTTCTCAAAGTCCATCCAGCACTTCCAGGGATGAGGCATCCACAGTTTCTCTGGGAAACCTGTTCCAGTACCTCACCATCCTCACAGTAAAGAATTTCTTCCAGATATCTGAGTCTCCATCTACTCTCTTTCAGTTTAAAGCCATTCCCCTGTGTCCTGTCACTCCACCCCCTTGTAAAAAGTCCCTCTCAGCTTTCTTGTAGCCCTGTTTAGAGACTGGAAGGTGTTATAAGGTCTCCCCAGAGCCTTCTATTCCCCAGGCTGAAAAAACCCATCTCTCTCAGCTTGTTTTTCATTGGATAGGTGCTTCAGCCCAGTGAGCATCTTTGTGGCTTCATCTGGTCTCGCTCCAGCAGGTCCACATCCTTCCCGTGCCCTCATTCTAGAAGGCAAATACTCATACTTCCTAAAAATGGTGTGCTCTAGAATATACTACATTGCTCTTTAAAAAAAACCCAAGATTGTAAATAGAAATAACTTTTAATATTCACTTCATGACAGTTAAGATGTTATTAAAATTCTGATTTCTTTTATGCAGGTTGAATAGGTGTTCAGAATCGTATGTTTCTTTTTCAGTTTCACCGTGTCCTGTATTATTTATCATCTTTTAACAGAGACAAGCTTTTTGGAAGTACTCTTTTATATGGGTTTAGACAGGAAGACCTTGTTGGAAACAAGACATCGTGGAACATAATTGTTCACAGCAATAATTCAGTTTTGCTATAACAAGATGTTATGTCTTGCGTATGAAAGTTGGCAGGAACACAAGAAGAAATGCAGTGTTTTCATCGACTTCTAGTTCTGTTGGGCTGAAGTGCAAGGGAGGACCCCTTTTACGTGATTTCATTTATCTCAGGGGTTGTAGTGAGATAGGTTGGTCCTGGATCATTGATTCTGGAAAGTAAAGAGACAGGCAACCGAAAAAAACCCCCAACAACCTCCTATTATGCACAAAAAGCCTGAAGTACCTGTGGCAAAGAGGCTGTACCTTAAAATGCGCAGGGAAGATTGTAGAACATTTCCATGGCATCAAGTAGGGTGAAAATTAATCAATAAACACCCAGTTTTGATAATAAAGACAAGTCATGGGTTTTTGCTTGTGCAGCTGTCCCTGTGGGGGAAAAATGGAATAATAGTTATCAGTTCAGTTCAAAGTTAATATTTATACAGCAAGCTGACTGGGTGACTATTCAAATATTTAACACTTGCTTGTTTTCATTACAGGAGTTGCAAAGCTCTGGAAGAGGAGGCTTTCTACTGGAACATGCTGCCCCCTTATCTCCTTTTTTGACAGACAGCTTTGGGCGTCAGCACAACTACTTGCGCATTTCTTTGACCGAGAAATGCAACCTCAGGTGTAAGTGTCTGCTGGGTTCCGTGAACAAAGCTCTTATGCCCATATTGTGCAAAGGCCAAGACTTGAGTTAGGGTGTTGTTATTGCTCTGTTGGCCTTGCTCTGTTTCTTGTCTTCACAAAGTAATAGTAAAGCACAGATAGGGTAATTTGGACCTGAACTGCTGGTGGGATGAAGAACCAGGAGCAAGCCTAAGGATCTTCCAAAGACGAGTGGAAGTGATAGGTCTTTTGTCAGACTTGGTGTGGTTGAGATAATGATGCTTGTTTGCTCTACCTCAGGTGTGTGGTAAGTGGGAGAGCTCATACCTATCCTACAATTGTGTCTGCAAAGTTTGTGGCAGTGTCCCAGTGCTTGCCAGTTGAATTTGGTGTCTCTGTTTGAATGCAGGTTAGATAGAAATAAGATCAGCTTTTCCTTCAAAAAGTGGATCCATTATAGTTTTGAGACACATCAAATGAGTCTTGGGTTTTCTTCTGAAGGAAACCAGGAAAGTGATAGAAGATTGTTTGTAAAGTTTTGCAAAATTGGTGTCATTTAACATCCATTAAAGACAGCTGCACTTGGTGCATTTCTTGCCCATCAATGTTAGATTAGTTGTTGCTGGTTATTTTTTTCCCTCATGTATTTCTGTAATCTTTGTTTCAGGTCAGTACTGTATGCCCGAGGAAGGTGTTAAGCTGACTCCTAAATCAGAGCTTCTAACTGCTCAGGAGATAATCACCCTAGCCAGACTGTTTGTGAAAGAAGGTGTAGAGAAGATCCGCCTGACAGGTGGAGAGCCACTCATCCGTCCCGATGTGGTTGATATTGTGGGTGAGTTCCAAATCAATACAGAGTGACTTGCTGCATATTGATCCAAGAATTACACTTACAGCTATCAACTAAGTCCAGTAACTTGAAAAACAACTATTTAACAATGGTGCTTTATCCCAACAATGCAAGATAGTTCCTTTCAGAAAACTTCCATTTCTGCTTTGCTGCTTTAAAGGAATTTCTCTCTCTTTATATTGCAACCACTGAAATTAGCATTGTCTTCATATTCAACATATATCAAAGTAACTTGCAATAATGCAGCCTTAGGGTAAAAAATCAAGAATTGATGTGACCAGATCATCACTGACTAGGAACAACTCAGATGTTCTTACAAACGAAACAAGCTGTCCTTTTGATTTTGAGGTGGGTTTTTTTTTGTGGGTTTGGTTTTTTTACCTTGATAACAGATTTTGCTTGTCTGTGTTTAATAAGGAATGGTGGAAATGCCTATGTTTTTACAGCTATTGATGAAGACTATCACTTCAATGGAAAATAAATTACTGAGTAATTTTTAAAAGTCTGTCTGCTTTGATTGGTATTGTGTTGACTGACCGTGCCTGTTTTTTTTCTTGAGCCACGTGCTTTTTTACTCTTTCCAGAGTCTCATATGTTAATAAAATTAGAATAGCTTCATATGTTCAATTAAGATTATCAGATATTTTAGATTAAGGCTATGTAGGTGGCTGCACTTTGGTGTATTGTAGACAACTGAACTAATCTGTTTCTGCAGGTATACTCTTATAAGTACTGAAGAGAGGGTTAATATGGAAGATGAAGGTGTTGAAAGAAGAGAAATTGCCTAGCAATACAGTGAGTTTTGATGCAGAAAACAGTTAGTCTCTGCCTCTGTTCTATTTTGTTCAGGATTTGGAACACTGTTACGTTTTTTGTATGCAGTGTGTAGAACTGACCTATTGGAAAAGGTATGGCTGGAGTGAGGTGGCTTGGGTTTTCTTGAACCTTGATTGTGAGTGGTCATGGAACTGCACTAACTTAATATTTTTGGAACTCTTATTTAGTATTGAGAGCTAAGTGCCCTTCAAGAGACGTGTTTCTTTCAAGAAGACATTCCCCATTTCTAATGATAATAGGTATAATTATTTGCTCCTATAAAGAAAGCCATGAAATGAGTTGAAATCAACGTCATCAGCTCAATGTAGAACTTTCTTTCCTAATGTATGTACCTTTTTTATTTTTCAATGGTAGCTAGTGACTTTTTATACTCAACACAGCTACTCTGTTGTTGATGATCCAAGTGGAGTAGTCAGGTCACTGCAAAATAATTATTGCATTGCTGCAATTCTGAAGTATTGGAATTGGAAGGATAGAAATCTTCTGTTTTACTCTAATGATAGAACTCTCAAAGGTTTATTTCTGTGCCAAAAAGAGGGAGATGGATCTTTTTGAGCCAATGAGTTTTCATTATTCTGCCTCTGTTCTGGTTCTCAGCTGAACTTTGACAGATTCATAGTGATGATTTTAATAGATGACAAAAGAATAGTGGTCTTGGGGTGAAGGTAATGTATGTTAAGATGATTGTCCCACTGCATTAGTTCATTCTGTCATGGGTTTGTATGAATCTGGCTGGTTTCTTTAAGACTTACTGAAAGTTTTTATTGAGTCTATAAACACTTTCTGACTTCTCAGACTGTGGTGTTACTCTATGGCGCTCAAGTTTAGGATCCAGATAAAAGTCCCAAAACTAAATAGATTAATATAATAAGTATGGGAAAACTCATTGAAGGAAAAAACGGCCCAAAAATGTCTTCTGCAGAATTTGAGTAGAGCACCTTTACTGAAGCCATCTTAGCACATGGTGCTGCTTTGGTCTGGGATAGAGATAATCTCGTTTTCTAGGTAGTTTATAGAAACTGTCTACAAGATCTCATGTGCTGAATGGAGCTTAGATTTAAGTTAGGTTTTTTTCAGCAAACCTTTCTCTCAACCATAAATGGTCTGTGAAATATCAGTAAAGCTCAAAAATAATGTTGGATTACTATTACTAAATTTTTCTAATACTCAACTTCAAGGTTTTTTGTTGTTCCAATGAAGAAATGTTATTTGAAGCTACTGTAAGAGACCAAGTTATTCAGCAACCTGCTACAGTTCTTCAGATTATTTAAAATCTTTTAATACATGCACATATATTAACTATGAGTCCACAACTAACACTTGCTGAAAGCTAAATTGTGTCCTGGGGACTGCTGAAAACATATGTTTGAGACTTTCCTGAAGCAGCTGATAGTAGAACATAGAATCCATCTCCTTTGGGATACTCAAAAGTATAAATAAGCACTGGCTATAAACTGTGCAATAGCTGTTTATTATTAATAGTCTGAAAAGTACACATCTCCACTGAAAAAAATAATTTTCCATGGGGTGGAGGGGGGTTAATTGGATGACTTTTTATAGCAACATACACATTTCAGGAATGAAGTGGTATAGGGTAGACTTTTTAGTTCATGTATTAAGAGATACACGTACCTTTTTGGGACTTAGACAGAAGTGTAATTAAGGAGGAGGAGAGTAAGTAAAAAACTTGTTTATTTAAGAAGATGCTCCTGATCCTAAGTGGAGAAGTGAATGTAAAGGGTTTATTTTATGGCTCGAGCTTGACATACAATCTTGTAGTTTCACGCTATGATATTGTGGCAACTGTTCTCTTTGCTTTTCTACTTCGTAGTTTATATCAATTGATTTTGCTTGTGCTGATTGGAGCTAAAGCAGTGACCAAAGGCCAAATTTAATACAGGTACAAGGAGAGTTACAAAGTTATGAAGTCTCTTAATTCCTTTTGAATTTAGGGGTCACCAAGCCAAGATACCTAGACACTGTGAACGATACATTTGGTAAAGTGTACTAACCGTATCTTGTCTTCTCTGAGGAGGAAAAAGATATGTGGATAACAGCTGGTGCTACTCTCTTTAATTTTTCCATTTAGGCTGCAGCATGATGTTAGTTTTATTCAATACCTTTATGCATTTTACATTTCTAGAATGAAGCCTGTGTGGTACCGGCCCTTTTTTCTTCTGTTGTTCTGAGGCTGAGCACTCTCTGCATTCTGAGGCTATAAACAAAAGTAGTGATGTTCCTGCACTATCCTCTGGCTGCAGCATGTATACTGTGCTCTCATGAAGACTGGGCTACTAGGGGTAGCTAGTGACTAATCTTTGGCAAAATTGGGCCAGTAGCACTTGTCCTCTAGGAAGCTGTTATTTTTGGTCATTTGGGAGGATTTGGAGAGGTGAATGAATGCCAGAAAAATAATATTTCTTGTTAAAGATTGCTCTTTTGCTTATAACTTCTGTTTGCAAATGTCTTTATAGAGCTTTTAATCATGTTGCAAAATGCATTTTGCTGCTGCAAAATGCTTCAGCATTTTTGTTTTGACTTGGCTTGTCCCATTCCAGAATTCTGGGCCAACCTTAGGGTGAATATTTTGAGAATAGCTAGGAAATGAGGTAAAGCAGAAGTAAAGCCCTTATCAACATGAACAAATAGAATTGAAATAGTGAGGGAAGAAGGAACTATGAAATATTTGTGCTGTAATTACAGCTGCCTCAAGAGTAAGGATTCTCCAAATATTTATTAAATGATTAGGGTGGAGACTATGAGAGAGGGAGGGAGGAAAAAGTAACTTTGCTGTGGCTCTGCTTCTGCAAGTTGTTTTTGAGGATTTTTTCCTATTTGTTATTGTACAAGCCTGCCCTCTGGAGATCTGGTGTGCCAAGGATTTCTGCATTTGGCTTATGAGAAGGCAGCTATCTTCTAAGTCTTAGTCTCATGATATTAACTGTTTCTTATGCTGTTTTCTTTTGTTAGCCAATTTTTACTGTCTTGTGTAAGTGCCCTCCAGTTGGCTGGGCTACCTCTGTGGGTAATGGAAATATTTCAGCTGTCAAGGGCAAGTGTTTTGTCCCTTGGATGTTTTTGCCTTGGATGCTCTGTAATAGTCTAATATGTTGACGTTTTTCTGTTTCACTAGGACTATATGTGGTATTTCTTTCAGAAGTTTAAAGTCACTACGGCTGGCAGCTGGCTATGAGTTAGAACTAGTTTTTGGTAAAGCATTGTAGAATAAACGTTGCTAAATAAACACAGCTAGTTCTGGTGTCCGGTGTGAAAGGGATGGCTTGCTGCTTATTATCATTGCAAAACATAAAATTCAGTTTGCAAAGCTAGACGAGGAAAAGAAGGTACATTAGATTACTTCAAAAATAAAGTAACTATTTAAGAAATGGAGAATGAAATTAGTGTGCATTTTGATAAAACAGAACTTCATCACCTGTTTCACATGCAATAAACTGCTCTCTCATACATTTTGAAATGGATTTGTGTGAAAATGGTTGTCTTCAACCAATACAATTGGAAGGAGGCTGAAACACCGAAGTGTCCATGTTTTCCTCACACCCTGAGTGATACCTTTTTCTTTATTTTGCAAATCTTTCAGGGTTTTGGTGTAACTTACAGTTGAGTTACTTCTGTTAAAGTGTTTATTTAATTTTTTATTTCCTAGGTCAGCTGTACAAGCTAGAAGGGCTGAAAACCATTGCTGTCACAACCAATGGGATCAACTTAAGCAGACTTCTGCCCCGACTGAAGGAGGCAGGACTGAATGCCATTAACATTAGCCTGGATACTTTGGTTCCAGCTAAATTTGAGTTCATTGTCCGAAGGAAAGGTACGAACTTGTCTTCTAAGGCAACTGTGTTAATACCTGCAAGAATGTTGTGAGTTGTTTTGTGTATCTTTCACACTCAGTTACATCAGGAGGGGAGTGAATTGCTATTCTTCTGGGGCTAGGAAAGGTAGTCTATAGTAGCTTACTCAATAGTGATTCTATTTCCTTCTTTCTACAATGCTTAGGCAGGTAGAATCCCTTTGTTGTAGCAGGTGGAGTAGAAGATGCTCAACTCAGCAGAGTCAGTGGGACTGACTGCAGCTGCCAATAGTAGCTGGCACTATGACTGGTTAGTCATAGATCTCAAGAAGACTCTCTAAATTTTGTGTTGGTCTTGTGTGCTGCCCTTATTTATTGCTGTCAGAGAGACAGGCAAAATCTGAACTTGATCTTGCCACTTCTGTTTTTTGGGCTGCCCAGGGAAGTGGTGGATTCTCTGTCGCTGGAGGTTTTTAAGATGAGAGTGGATGTGACACTTAGTGCCGTGGTCTAGTAACCACGGTGATGTTGGATCAAGGGTTGGACTTGATCTCAGAGGTCCTTTCCAACCCAGCTGATTCTGTGATTCTATGTTCACAAAAGCAGATCTTCCTCCTATAGCGGCTGGGAACTAAGAACTGAACTCCTCGTCACGAGTAGTGGCCTTTTCTGGAAGTTGAATCTGGGTATGCTAGCAGTGGTCTCATTTGTGGTTAGTTATGTTCCCTATCTCCGCTATTTTTAATAGGGATAAACATAAACCATGCCTGAGGTAATTTGAGGAGGGCTGCTAGCTTTGTAACTTCTCTCCAACTGAGCAAGGAATTCCACATGAAGTTCCAAAAAATGCTTGGATTTGCCCAGTCTTAGAGATCCTTGCTTAAATGAATCCTAAAGCTCATCATGGAGTTCAGCTTCATGGTTGGGCTTACTTCCAAACTAAAACTGGTAGGATCTTGTGTTACTCTCTTTCGGTCCAGCAATGTAACTTCGGTAGTCTGTGAACTAATTCTGACAAGACCTCTAAGTAGCCACCAGATGGTGCAACAGCCTAAGATAGATGTAGGAATGTGGAAAATACAGAATGCTATGAGAATTAATGTCAGTATTTGAATCACTGCTATCAAATCAAAGTTCTGCTGGCAGGTGCAGAAAGGCTCTTTATGGGAGCACTACTTCAGGTTTCTATATCATGATGCAGAAATCTGTTCCTATCATAAATCTGACTGGAGCATTACCCTTCCAGCATAAGCTATGGCATTAATCTGGTTGTTTCAAAGCAGAATTGGCTTCCAGAGTGGTATCTGGGAGTATCTAATCATAAGCAGGTGTTGACTGTGCTCTTTCCTTCTGCTCTGTGCATTTGAATATTACCTAGTTTGTGACATTCATTAGAAACAAGCCCTTCTTTTGCTACTGAAGGGGCAAACTTGAGCTTCCAGCTCCTGAATTATAAGGTCATAGCTCTTCATATCTGATTGGAAGCTATTAGGAATGTGCTGCTTATAAAGTAAACTAAAAGTTATTAGGGGATGTGGGTAATTTTTATTTGTGTAAGTGTTCTCTTCCCCTCTTTCCCTTTAAATAAAAAGGATCTTTAACAATAGAGAGAAATTGCTCAACTGAACAGCATAGAGAATGAACAGGAAAGTTTCTATTACTTTTAAAGAGGAAAATAAAGTCTCTGAATCATACTTTTTTTTTAAAGGGAAGATCAGGTAAAAATAGTAACACTGAGTTATGGGCCTGTTTTCTTTTGTTAGGGTTAAGGGCTGAAATGATGTAAAAATACTTTTTTATTCTTTAGGGGTTTTTTTTATTATTATTATTATTATTATTGAGAGGTTTTATTTAATAGGAGATTTCCAATTATGGAATGAGCAGAGAATAAAGTGCCTGTCCTACTGTGCTACCCTGTCTCCTGTGGCAGTTCCAGAGGCAACAAGATATAGCTCTGTTAAGGTGAAAGGGATTCCTGATCTTGGACTCCTACAAGCTGGTAACTTCCCTGGAAAGTAAAGGTGTCATCTGATTATGGAGCTTATCAGGAGCTCAAGAAAATTGGAATCAATTTTTCTGCTCCACTGGAAAGTCATTCTAGGCTTTTAAGAAGACACTGAAAATATGTATCTTTGGTGCAAGTGCCCTGCATTACATTTGCTCTTTACTTCCAAATAGCTGGGATAGAGGAAATTACTGAGATCACCAGAGATTTCACTAATGTCTGAAAGCACATTAGAGGACCATAATGTTTCTACTTCTTCCCATCTACCACGTTCTAAGGAATAAACAAATGAAAAGTGCTTGCTTGAAGGTAGCCAGTCTAACGTGTTTCATGGACTATGCCTTCTTTTTTTATTCAGTACAAGGAAAATGAGATTGTTTTGTACTGTAATTGTATCCTTACACGTTGGCCTGAAGTCTTTCTTGTTTTAAAGATTAAATGGTGGGAGGTGTTGTCACACAGAGTATTGTTCTGGATGGGTCTATGGTTCTCTGTCCTTCAAAGTTGGCTAAAGTTCTGATTTCAGAAGAAATCTAATATGATAAAAATATTGAAATGTTTCAGTGGGTGGAAGAGGAGATAGGTTGTAATTTTGAAATATCAAAAAAAACTTTGCAAACTTCTGTGACTTGACAATGTTTCCCAACGCAATGACATCTAGTATTCATTTCTGCTCTAATGTTTTGAAATGTTTTGATTTTATTCTTTTTGTTGTTCCATTGCCACACAAGGACTTTGATTCAGAAGGGATGTTTCAATAAGCATGGCAATATAAGTGAACCAACAGCTTTTTCATGGAGAAAAAAACAGAAAGCATTAACATGAAAATATGAAATGCAGTAACAGATTTTTAATTTTTACTCTAAGAAATTTTTGTTTTAATAGTCACCCTTCCCTTTTTTGTTTTAAATAATCACCCTGCCCCAAAAATATTTTAGTGGAAATAAGTTCATAGTTGTTGTTATTCAGTACAGCTAAAATTTTTGTTTGCTTGTAGAGAGTTTTGAGAGTTTTTCTAAACCATGCTCATGTGCAGCCATGGCAGTAGGTAAGACGCAGACCTGGGAAGGACACTGAGTTAGATGTATTGCAAGATGTAATCCTGTTCAATTCCACTACAGCGAGCTGAGCCCAAGCATGAGGGTTTTGAAACATGCAAAGTTTTTGATCTGTTGCTTGCCAGTGGTTGCTTCCTGGCCTTTTTAGTTATGTTCAGTTTCACCTTTCTGCAATCCTGAGGTTACACGTAAGATTTTCTGAGCAGTTGCAGAGATTTTTGATCCCATTCATGGCTCTGGATTGTGCTTACAGCAGTGTATCATTGTGTCTGTTGCCACATTCTGCCTGCAAACTTGCTTAATTGGAATGAGATCTGTCACAGGCGCTGGAAACTTCCTGGGCACATGCACAAGTAGGTGATGATTGAGAAGGGTGACAAGTCATAACTTCAAACACTTGCCTGCAAGAGTTATTTCACTGTCTTCTCTGTATTCTTTACTGCTGTTTTTGCAGCCAGGACTAGCATTAGGACTGGCTTATAAAACAATTATTATCTTCTGCTTTTCTGTGTCTACGCTTTATAATGTCTTTACCAGCTAGAGAGCAGTTAAGTGAAATTTTTCTCTCTCTCCCGTTTTTTTTCTGACTTTAAACTCATCCAATATTAAGTATGCACAGAATACTGTTGAGTTATTGCTTATTTCTGTTAAATACCTACAGACTAATGAAGGTATAATCTCTTCACTAGAGAATCTGAGTTTCCAGTAGATAGGGAAAGGTGGATGATGGACCTATGCAAAAAAATATATGACTAGGAACAGCACAGGGACGGATGGTCAACACAATCTTAAGGAACATTTTGCCCCTTTACTAGCATGTATTTTGCTGTTGAAGACTGCAGCTTTGGAAGAAGGAGCATAGTCTCATGCAGTGTCTGGTCTCTCATACCTGAGTTTCATGTGCAGGATGGGAACAGAACTTAGTTTAGAACCTGACAGGGTAGAAGAGACATTCACAAACATGGTGCTGACAGCTCAGCACACCCACTATGCACCCAGAGCTCAGTAGTTTTCTGTCTTGTTCTTGCTACTATTCATCTTTGTTCTCCACCACTTGGTGAGTGTGGCAGGGAAGAAATAATATGTCAAGTTTAAAATTATATCTTTGTGAAAGGTCTTTCTTTAAACAAAGTTGACAGAAGGGGTGGTTTGAATGAGGAAATTAGGAGGCTCTCCTAAAGGACTTTGGAATTTCAAAACTGCATTGTTGCTTTATTTTTCTTTCAACTTTAGGAGGTAAATGTAGGGGCAAAGATACTTTCCCTGAGTCAAATATATTTCTTGTGTCTGAGAGAGGCTGAAAGGTGTAGGCCACCAAACAGTAGGATGAAGCTGGACGCTTCACTCCTTGATGTCACTGTAGTTTTAGACCTCTTTCATTTGTTTTTGAGGATCAGAGGACAACTGAATTGCTTTCCTAAATGCTCTAATCCCTGCCATGTTTTGCTCACTAATTTCCCATGTTTAGTCATAAAACGATGATCCTGTAAGTGCTGCCTGTGATCTTCAGACTAATGGATAATCAGTAGCTTTGGGAAGCCAATTACATCTGTAGCCAGGGTTGAACAGGGAATCAAGGGGCTTTTGTTTGTTCCCAAACCCACTCCACTTTATAAAAATCCTTTTAAAATTCACTTAGCAATATTGTTTGATTCAGAACAGTGAGATTCTGCCATTGCAGCAAAGACATGAGCCATTACTATAGAATAAACATTAATTTATTATTCTTTCTTCATTGCATTTGGAGGTAGTTCATAAATTCTTTCCACTTCCTTTAAGAAGAAAATAACAGAAGGAAAGTTGAGGGGGAAGGCTGGGGAAGTGGAGAATCATATGCTAATAATACATGGATATCCAAAGATGCAAAAAACCATACAAGTATTACTGATTACTTGAATACTAGTTAAATAATGATCTTGGTGACCTGAGCATAGGAACACTGGTCTTTGGGGGTTGTGAGGTTGGGGTATATGTATAATTGAAGTCTATTTATTTGCAGCTCTTACTACTTACAGCCCTGTCTACTGAATCAGATCAGTTTTATGGGTCATCTCTTTGTCTTGTACTTAATAAACTCCTTTTGCATTCTGGTTTTAAACAAGGAAAATTATTTTTCTTTCTTTTTGTATTTTAGGCTTTCACAAGGTAATGGAAGGAATCCACAAAGCCACTGAACTTGGCTATCGTCCTGTTAAGGTAAAGCTTTTCTCTGAAACTGTTGTGTTTTACCATACCTACAGCTCACCTGACGAGGAATTTATTATATTCCACCCCATTAATAAATTTTTGTAAAACTGGATAAAAAATTTAGCAGATTGAAGATCCCACCACGAAGTAACAAGGATAACTCATCTCCTTGTGCAGCTGAGGGTATGGGTTCATACTGTCTGAGCCTACTGATTGCCTTGCAGCAGGCTACAGGATGATCCTGCTCTGTATTTGCCTCCTCCTACCCTCTCTATTGAATTGGCACTGACCCAGCTGTGAACCTGGCCGGGGGAGTTAACAAGCAGAAAATACCAAAAAAAAAGATTTTCTCCTGGTTTATCTCCTTTAGCTTCTTACAGCAGACTATTATGAGTGCCAGTGTGAGAGTGAGGGAGAGTGAGTCCTCCTTTGAGGGTGCAGGTAGACCAGTTTCACTGTAACATGAAACCCCACCCTCAGTCACCTGTTTGCAGTTCTGCAGCTGTGGGTCTCTTCAGTTTCACGAGTGCTTTGGAAATTCTATTATGTGTAAGTAGTTTAGGCTATAGAGCTGTGAAAATCATTTGAAATTAAACTTGGTTTTAGGCTTTCCTGAAAGCACTTAAGTACTGTGATGCATGTAAAAGGCTGCCTTGCTAACAGAAGTGTTAGCAACTCCACAGCCATCTGTTGTTCTTCAGATAAAACAGAGGACCTGAGGCTCCAATGTAAATATTGTTTATGCGGAATGTGTGAAAAACTCAGTATTACCCTCTTTTTTGGACGAAGAGCTAGTCATCCTGCAGCCTGTGGTTATAGAGTGTGCTGTGAACACTTCTCAGTTCAGGGAATTTGCCTATGATCTGCCATAGAGAGTGGTATAGAAGGTAACTTGCCATTTCTTTTCTGGAAGCCATACAGTGTAGGACTGGGGAGTGGCATTGTCATTCTAAACAGTAAAAACTGCCATACCTTAGATAGGTAAGACAATACTTGTGTTACCTAGCTTTGTTATTAGTTTTCTGGTTAGCAAGGCAACTTTAACAACTTTAATTAAGTTGGAGAAAAACTTAGACTAGTTAGGGAGAAATTATCATCCATGCCAATTTCTTTCATCGTTTTTATTTTCTAAAAAAAAAAAAAGTTATTTCTATCTATGTTGCCTTCCGCAAGGACTGTGAAACTTTGTGTAAGTGGGAAGTACTCTGCTCACTAATTTCAGGTGTCTGCCTTACCTGCAGGTGAACTGTGTTGTGATGCGAGGCTTGAATGAGGATGAACTGCTGGACTTTGTGGATTTCACAAAGGACCTGCCTGTTGATGTGCGGTTCATAGAATACATGCCCTTTGATGGTAAGTACTCCTGCTTTGAGATTCTTCATGGTGTGGAGTGTGCCTTGGTTAGAGGTGAATCTGGTTGGTGATTATTCACCCCGGGGACTTGTCTCTGGAAGTTTTGTTAAGCTCCTTTGGGGAATTAAGAATTGCCTGAAGTTTTATCTTTTGCAGCTTATCTTCTTCCCTGAGCTGGAGAACAATTAGTAGCAGGATAAAGTGGGGCTGAGACACCTACAGGGAAAAATGAGATTTGTTGAGAATGTGAAGGTGGTTCTCTGCTAATAAAAAATATAAAGACACAGTCTAAAGTTACACTGGTTTTATTAATTCTAGGCAATAAATGGAACTTCAAGAAGATGGTGAGCTACAAAGAAATGCTTGATACAATTAAACAGCAATGGCCTGAATTGGAGAAATTACCCTGTGAAAGTTCCAGCACAGCCAAGGTGGGGTTGGACAAAGAACATGTGAAACACGCCCCCATTCTTTCCCTGCCGCAGATCCCCAAAGTCTCCCAAGTTCAGCATTGATCTGGGGTTTTGGTCAGACTGCCTGCATGTGGTTTGACACTCAATAAATGCTAGTCATAGTTTTTACCTTTACAAATACAATGTGTTTCCTAGATGCCTTGGTCAGATATAAAGAATTGCCAGGCCTGTATCCTGTATTTACAGCTTTTGAAACTTTTTTTCTGTCTATGACTGCACATTAACATGGCTGGGGGAACAGTTGTTCAGTGAAGTAACTAATGCTTTAGAGTGTATAGTGTCACATGGATGATTTCTAGCTCATGGCTGCTGCCTGAGTGTTATGCTGCCTACTGGCATCACCTGTTAGTTGATAACTACAAGTGCAAAGATTTAACAAGTTTGGAAATTTCCAGAAATGGGGCAGAAAAGACTGTGGAACCCCGATGAAATTGATTTTTTGTTTCTTTCATATGACTTTAGAACGAAAGAAAATCTGTGTTAAAAATGTCTTCCAGTCTTTGGACAAGTGGAGCTTTATATATTAAGAGTCTATGTTTGATTCTTCTTTTTTTCTCCTCTCGATTTCTTTAGAGTTATAAGGTGCCACATTTCCAGGGACAAATCAGCTTTATCACCTCCATGTCAGAGCACTTCTGTGGATCCTGCAATCGGCTGAGGATAACAGCAGATGGGAACCTAAAAGTTGGTAGTGAAAGAGGACTCTCTTTGCTTTCATGCAGTGAAAATGGTGTTGAAATGTATCCCATAAAAGTAGCTGGGATGTAAAGACACATAATTATTACCAGCTAACTCCTGTTTATTTATCCTGTATGTATTCTTGTTCCATCTTGTCAAGCTGTTAGGGAGATGTTACATCACTTTTTTTTGGTTTCTCTGTTTTGCTACCATAGTTAACTTCAGTTGTAAAACATGGTTGCAAGACCAGTAAATATAAACATTTATTCTAATCTTCGATTCAAAATCATCTTAAACATGTGACAAGCAGATGATTTCCCATTAAAAAAGGATCCAAGCAGCTGTGAGGGCTTGGCTTTTGCGTTCCACAAGGATCGTGTCTTGTTTCCCAAACATCTTGCAACTCTTCTCCTTCAGGAGCAGCCTGTACATTTGCTCAATGACTGTAGAAAGGGGAGGGATAACCATTTCCTGCCACGTTGAAACTGGCAGTTTCTGGGGGAAAATTAAAGTTTTCAATTAAAAATTGGCACTTATGTATTGTCACCTGATATTGACAACAGCTGTGCTGCTGCTGAATGTCAGATGACCGAGGCAGCCTGAAGGCCCAGTGAGCTTAGGTTGCATAAACATCCCAGGCGGTCTCTGTGTGCACATGAGGAGAGATAAAGAAAACAATCATCTCCATAAACGTTCCCTTCAATAGGGTAGGCCTCTTCAAAGCTCTTGACTCTGAGTTTAGTACAAAATACTTGTAAAAGTAATTTATTTTATTCTTTCTCATTTCTTGGCTTCTATTTCCTTGGATTGGCTGCAGGTGTGCCTTTTTGGGAATTCGGAAGTGTCCTTGAGGGATCACCTACGGTCTGGTGCCTCAGAGGAAGAGTTGGTTCAAATCATTGGAGCAGCAGTGGGCAGAAAAAAGAAACAGCATGCTGGTATGTTTGTTGTAACTGAGAAATAGCAACAGTGATTAGGGGAAAAAAATGTCCTGGTACTCATAACCTTCCCCCTGAGTTAGAATCCAGACTGTCTAAAAGACTTTGACTTTTGTCCTCAGAGAGATGCTCTTGACAACAACAGCAAAGTGTAAAGCTAAGCAGTTATACTGGATCACTTTTTTTCTTAAAATTAGTTTGCAATAAAATAAGTACTAAAGCTATTGAGCTGTCAATCCAAGTACTTGCAGTACTTGTTTCTAGAAGCGACAGATCTCTTTTTGAGTATTCAGAAGTCTGTAGGCACTCGTGTAGTACTCTGCATAAGGTACACAAGGTCCATGATGATGCAGTCACACTCTCAGGCTGTATTAGTCTTCTCTGAATTTATATTAATATAAACAGTCACATCTTGAACCTAACTGTATTTTTGTAATCTGGCTGCAGCTGGGAATGCTGACATTCTTGTACATGAACTGGCTTTATCATCATGGATTAGTCCCCTTTACACTAAAAATATGCTTTGGCCCTTTTGTTTTCTTGCACATTCTGACAGATTAATAACAGTTGTTTTTCCCCTTTTCTCATAATGTGTAAAACAAATATAAAGGTAGCTTTTAAACTGAGTGTAGACTAACTTGAAAAGCACATTGCTCTGATAAAATAGTGCCTTGTAAACACAATGGAAGGGGTGGAAGGATTGGTTTCTTTACTTTTAGACTATTTATTTATGAATTTATGATTTGGGAAAGGAGGGGTGGGTGGGGAAGAGTCTACTAAAGGCATTTTGCCATCAGCAGCATTTACCTGACACTGTCTTCTTCCAGTTTGTGTTAATCTTAGTATTGTCCCTGGGACCTTCTGTGACTGAACTTCCTTGAACTGGAACACTTATTAGCCACTTCTCTATAGAACTAGTACAGTCAAATACTATTGTTGAGAAACAAGATAGTCTCAAGTTGTTTGAATTCTATAGTAGGTAGACTGCAGCTCACATGATGGAAAGCTTTCTGGAAAGGGGTTCTACAGTGTGATAGACCCATAGCAGCTGGATGCCTGGAGACTCTGGCAGCTATGGTTTTAAATAATACCAGCCTAGATTCCCTCTCTTCCAGTTCCCTTAGTCTTTATTGAGCTTTGTTTTTCCTAGCATGCAGGTTGCACTGTGAAGAGTAGAAAACTAAATATGTAAACCAGATGCATGACTTAACAACTAAAAAGCCAGGATTTTTATGTGTTCCTTATTTTATTTCTAGGCATGTTTAACATTTCCCAGATGAAAAACCGGCCAATGATCCTGATTGGTGGGTGACAAATCAGTACGTAAAAGACATACAATGATTTTGTTCAGTTTCTATCTTTGGGGAAGCAGAATAGATTGGGCTTCTATCTTGTGTCTGATTCTGGCTCTGGTTTAGGCAAAGAAATAGGCTTCTTAAAAGGCAGTTGTGATTAATATGCTGAAATGAGAGAGAAGGAAAGGTTTAACGTCCCTACCGAGTCTTATCCAGTCTTCTAATTGACAGCACTGGTTTTTGTTCTCAAATTATGAAAGTTCATTACATTTTCCAAAGGGATCATTAGCTTTCCTACCTTATTTCCTATCATCTTCCTTTGTATATAACAAGAATAGTATAATAACTTGTAAGACAGTTTGGTGTGAATTTTGACCATATTGCCGCATAGACATAAAGGATGGAGGATGGACTTTTATCTCTCGATTAAGTAATACAACTGTGCTTATAATATATACAGCCAGCAACCTGACAGAAATGCAAGTGTTCCCACCTCACTAATTCATTACTTCAGAATCTGAATCATGGGGCTTTGTTCTTTTGAAATTACCTCTCACTGCTGCAAAGTCTCAGAACATAACCGTGAAACTCCTGTGGACTGAGAGCTTTTCTGCTCCTTCTTGTATTTCATGAAGATATTTGCTAGCTCTCCCTTCTGCCTGAAGCTCTTTTTGTGAGTGATGTAGCACTGCTGAGGTTCTCTTAGTGATTTTTTACAACTCCTTCGGTGTGATTTTACCTCCTCCATGCCTATGTTTCCTGTTTCGTAAGATAGCTGTCTTCCCAAAGACCTTAAGAAATGGTTACAGGAGTTAGTGTTGTGAGATTATTGATAAGGAACAACAGAACGTCTTGCAATTAAAGGGCAAAAAAACCCAAAAGCATTAAGGGTGGAAGAGATGAATGTTATGTTTCAAATCCAAGCTCTCATCCTCCCACTGATGTTTAGGAGTAGGTTAACTGCTGGGCAGCTCAAAACACAGGTTTAAAAAAAAGTACTCTTGGGGAGGGGAACGTGCATTAATTCACATTAATTAAGGTCTTTTAACATAGGTCTTCACTGGGAATATATTTCACCTGGTGTCCCCCTTTAAAGGGCCATCATTTTCCATGTTGAGTGGTGCAAGATTGTCTCCCTAAGTTGGCTTTTGCTCTTTTGATTTGGCCACTGCTGCATTGTGTTCCAGGAAAATGGGAAGGAGGATGCTTTGTTTCAAATGTTTGCATTAGGAGAAAAATTCTGGTTTTCTTAAGATGAAAAATACTATATTATACATTTGACAGCTCTCTGGATCCTACATAATTGTTCAAGATGCCTTTAAAAGGATTCCCACACTCCAGTTAGCATTCATAGCAATGTTTGGATGTCTACAGATCAGATCCATCCCATTTCCTTCTGGAAAGTGCTTTAACATTGTCTAACATACACTGAAAGAGGCAGCTTGTCCAGGTCTTCCTCCCTCAGCTGTTCCATATCCCTTTGAGACTGACTGCTGGCAGTCACCGCATCACTGAAGAGACTGGAGATGAGTGGAGAGTATCCTGTGACACATGGGGAATTATTAGGAGATTTCCTAATTGTGTTTTGAATTACTTAGAAACTTCAAATGATGCTGGCGTGCAAGCAGTCAGTGGGGGAGTGTGCACATGGAATTAATTTAATGAAATTCAGTGAATGCTGTGGAAATCACTAATTGGTTTTGCTAGGCCCAGTAAGCCAAACCTGGCATCTTCCCTGCACTGCTGTTGTCCAATTCTTTTCTATACAGTTTGTATCCTATTTCCCTTAACCAAAATATTCCTTTTGGCAGGTTGTTCTCTTCATGGGTTTACTTCAGTTATGGGAATTTCCTCATTAATTTAAGTACCTCCTGCCTTCTTTTCTACCCCTGAGATTGTGCTAGTTGGAAGCTAACACAATTAAACTTCAGGTGCAGTAACAGAAGGAGATGGGATTTGTCAGATGGTTTTGGTCTATGGTGCAGTAGAAAACCATAATCTATGTTTGTGTAGGTATGTGAGCAGTTTGGGTGAAAATAGACATGACTAGGTACAACTTCAAGTGTAGGTTGTTAGAAAAAGCAAAGATGCTTTGCATGTATTACTGCCTATTACTGTCTGTTTACTTACCACTCTGCTTGAGCAAACACTGCTTCTCTTCCCTGCCCCAGTCCATGTGTGTTTACCCTGTGGAAGGAAGTCCTTGTCTGCCTTTGCAGTTCAGCTTCTTCTGATGACAAGACTCCTTGGCAGGGGTTTAGCTTCAGCTTTAAAGTTAATCAGGGAATCCAGAAGTACTTTTCATTCCTAAATTTTAAAGGGAATATTAAGGTTAGGTCCCACTATGAGGAGAAAGGGAAAGAAAGAAGGGAAAAGCAAAATTTTCTGTGCTTTTCCAAAGCAGAGCAATGTTACCCTCAGTACATTTATGTCCATTTAATCCCATTCCTCTGAAGGAGGAATACATTACCTCCAAACTCACAGAAATCTTAATTTTAGTGGATAGGCCATCAGCTGTAGAACAAAAAGGGCCTTTGTCTGAAGTAAAATTACTGCAGTGATTAAAAAAAAAAAATGTATGGCTGATTTAAACTTCAGGAATGAGTACTTTGAAGTTTGGAGGGTACTGTGGATGAAAAAGGTCCTAAGTACATTAGTCTTGTTTTGGCAGAGGCTAACAAGGAAGAGACTGGTTGGCTTGTTTTTAAAAAAGGAGGGGGACAGAGGGCACAACTGGGACCTTATCCATGCTATGTCTGGCATTTTGACAGTCCCAGGCAATACCTGTAGGTCTGGGCAGCAGAGGTAGCTCAGCAATGTGCAGAGGGGTCTGGAAGCTATTTTGATGCACCTGTGGATAGGCTGAAAAGGGAGCCCCCAAATACCAGAGCTACCGAAGCAGGTTATTGAGCAAAATTCCTAATTCCATGTTTCTCTGAACAGAGAGAGCAGGAGCTTTGGAAAAAGAGAAACATGCTTATCAATGAGGCTGTTAAACTGGGGCTTAGCCACTTACCTCTATACTTCTTTCTTTACTTACAGAACATTTTATTCACTTTTATGTGAAAAAGACTCCTTCTGTCTTCACACTTGGCATTTAGCCCAATGCAAATGCCAAAACCAGGGGATTAAATGGTGAAAAGGGGCAGGAGGGCCTACTACCTCTCTGCCAGCTAGGAGCTCTGCCAGCTCAACTTGGAACATACTTCTGAGTAGATTTAAAAGCTATCTGTCAATGAGGGGAGTAGGGTTTTCCCAGTGCTTAAACTTCAGCTGTCATTAACATGTTAAGAACTGGCAGTAATGAGAGGTTCCCATCACCCTCAGAGCTTGTAGACAGTGCACTTGCAGATGTAGTGCTTCTGGTCCCTGCTGTCCTCAAGTGCTGGCATGACCCTTCCCTGCAGAAGGAGATGAAAGGAGGAAGTGCAGTCGCCTGTGCTGTGAGGGAGGTGTTTGGAAAGGCAGAGTTGAGAAGCTGAATGTAAGAATTTCCTATTAACACTGCCAGGCTTTCAAAAGAAGTCTGGTGCTATGATGATCTCAAATGACTCGCTTTTCTTCAGAACTGATGTTCTTATAAGGTTTCCTGGCTGTTGTTTCTCAAAAGGTGTTGATACTTTTTGAAAGTAAATTGTTTCTTCTCATCAGGGACCTTGAAATGAGTGTTTTGAGTCTTGAGGTCTGTAGTAGCAAACCAGGAAATGCAGGGAACCAACTGATGAGACAGAAGAGAAAGAGCTTGAGGATGTTCACAGGATTATTGAGGGTTTTGCATCACAGGAAGTCACAAGCAGTACTCTAATAGGGTTCTCACCTGCTACAGACAGCTTAGCTTTCCAATTAGTATTCTTATATTACTTTTTGGTTTTCTTCCCCAGAGCCTGCATTGATGTCATTCCCACTATGCCAAGATGCCCTACAGAATCCCTCAAATTCAAAACAGTGGGGCCACACATTTAGCCATTGGCTGACTTTGAGAGCAAGTTTACCCAAACAAAAGGGAAAAACATTAATGAAAAATAAGCTTACAGGACAACTTTTCCTGCCAAGATCTCACCCAGAGCAACAGTGGCACATAACGACAGGAATTCTACAAACCCAGCTCAGAGGCTACTGTGTCTTCCAGAAGGACCCAAGCTCCACATTTGATACAAAGTGCCTTGACACTTCTCCTGTTGGCCAAGTTTCTGTGGACTGTCAGTCCAAAGAGGCAAGTTCAGGATCTGAATTCTATACCACGGATTTGGGATCTTGCACCAAGGTACCTCATGCCTCTGACAACCTGACTCACACTGATGAGGAAGGACGGGCCACAATGGTTGATGTTGGAGGGAAGCCAGATTCAAGAAGAAGTGCTGTTGCTGGTGCTGTGGTCCTGCTGGGTGAGAAGGCATTTGGGATGGTGAGACAAAACCAGGTGAAGAAAGGGGATGTGCTGGCAGTAGCCCAGATTGCAGGAATTCAGGGAGCCAAGCTGACCAGCCAGTTGATCCCGTTGTGTCACAACATCCCGCTCTACCACGTCGAGGTGTCTCTGAGCCTGGATGAGGCTAGATATGCAGTGGTGATTCGCAGCTCCTGTCAGACCTGGGGGAGGACAGGTGTGGAGATGGAAGCTCTGACAGCTGCCAGCCTGGCTGCCCTGACAGTGTATGACATGTGCAAAGCAGTTACTCATGACATTGTCATCGAAGAGGTGAAGTTGCTTAGTAAGACAGGTGGGCAGAGGGGAGATTTCTCAAGGGTCTAGGTAATATCCAGATACCTCCAGCCCTCCAGATGATCACCGCTCATGTTCAGCCTCTTACAGAAGAACTACTTTTTCTCAGCTGGTGGGCTTGGAGACATCAGCAGGTGTACACTACAGCAATCCCATGACTCCGGCATTGCCTTACTCTGTCAGCTTACTGCTGGGTGACCAGTGGAACCACTTATCCCTGTTAAAAACCATGTGTGTTTTCTAGGGGACGGACAACCTCCTTGGGCAATCTGTTCCAGTGCATCATCACCTGCATAGTAAAGAAGTTCTTCTTCCTAGTCAGGTAGAATTTCCTGTGCATCAGTTTTTCTCTGTTGCCACTTATTCTGTGGTTTGGCATCACCAAGAACAGCCTGGCTTCATCTTCTTGGCACTCTCCCCCCCTTCCAGTACTTATATATATTCATGAGGTCCTCTCTCAATCGCCTCTTATGGAGGCTAAACAAGCCCAGCTCCCTCTGCCTTTCCTTTTAAGAGAGATACCTGCATGTAGGAAATATCCACATATGATTTTCAAAAAAGAAAAGAGTATGGCAGCTGCCCAGTTCTCTGCCTTGAATGCTCTGTAAACATGTTGCAGAAATAGGAATTCTAGGTTTGGAAGAATTATTTTGCTGATCTGAAAGACATGTTTTACAATGTGAAAATCATGTTCTGGCATTTTGTCCTTAGCAATGAAATACACTGATGCCCTGTATTGCATGCTTAAGGGCTTAATTAATTGTGCCATGCACAGAAGCATGCAAGCTCTCCCTGACATTAGAAAGAGTTGTCACACCAAACCCTAGAAGACTCCAAATTTTTTAATTCTACAGTGCAGTTCCTAGTAACCAGCAACTTGCATAGTCCTGACAGATAAAACAAGGGTAATTGCTTTTGCCTTGGCCGGAGTGTTTTCCTGCATGTTTCTCTGATTTGCTTTCATGAAGTCATCTGGCCTTGGAGCACTCGAGTATCTCCATAAATACAGCAGTGGCCACTGTCATGTAACAATCAATAGTTTTGATAATTGACTGTCCTAGATAAGAAATCACTCAACATTCTTGTTAATACTGATAGATCCTTTTCAGATGTTAATTTAAGTGCTTTAAACAGGGTGTTACTAGTTTTCTACTGCTTATGGGTAATGTGAAGTTGTATATGCTTCAGGGTACTTCCTCTCCATACGCACAGAGTTGAAGACAGTTCTAATAAGGTCAAAGACTCTATAAAAAAAAAAAAAGGCATCTTAAGCTTTGCAAGTAGCTGCTTCTCATGAAATGAGGTTAAATTACTGTGAGCATTAGTAAAGCACACACCACACTGCCAAACCCATTGTGTTCACTTAAAGTAAGCACACATCTAAGATGAGGAGGCAATAGGTTTTACTACAAATCCTTTACAAATCTCATACACTAGCTACCACAAAAGGCATTTTTTCCATTGCAGGTGAATTAATCTGATTCTTCATTCATTGTCACTGGGAGATAAGGCACATACAGTGGCAGATATATCAGGTATAGCTGGAAGGGAAAGGGGTCTAGAAAACTTGATGCCCAAATTCCATGAACATTTGCACACCTACCTTTAGTGTTACAGTCCTGACTCCCTTGGTATCACTGTGCCTCTCAGGAGTGTACCTATCGCTGCTGTACTGAGCACCAACAGTTTCTCACTCAACCTGCAAATACAAAAGACTATGTTTGTCTGTGGAACTGCTGTGCCCATAGCACAAAAGTTTCCTTAGCTCAGCATGGAAACAAATTGCCAGGAAAAGGAAGCACATGTGTAACCTGCTAAGTTAACTGAGGTACACAAGCACTTACCTGCCCTCACCATACACAAAGCACACAAACTTTCCCCCAATCTCTAGGTAATTTTAAAAGTGAAAAGGAAATGAGATGTACTCAGTAGTAATAAACTGATGCTTTAGGCACATGATTGGCTGCTGAGAAGTTTGCTATCATAGTGTAAAGCTCACACAAAGGACTCAGGACCATACAAGGGACTACTGAAGCACACACATGACCACCAAGCACATCTTGCTACTTACGCACATTTCACTACCTTGTTGGTTTGAGAGTGGCTGGAAGTGTAGGGCAAACTGACTTTGGTGCCATTTTATGATCATGTTACATTATCAAGTCTTTAAACTATGCACATTTATAGGTAATGAACTAAGCATGAGTCAACAGAACATTTTGTGGGAGAAATGAGGTGAGAGCACTGTATGTTTCAGGGGTCCTGGGTGGGCCATGGTGTACTATATGTTGATGAACTGACTACTTTTTGGAGGCTTGCTTTTTTTTGTCCACTGTATTTTTAATAAATACTAGTTGTAATGGACTGTGTTTTGCATTACTTTGAATACCCTTTTCATTCAGTCAAAGGAACATTTATGTTTTAACGCACGAGCTTTTATGAACAGTTACCTTGGGACAAGCAACAAGACAGACTTTACAAGTTGCAATAATTAGTCAGCAGTTAGCAAGGGACTGGTCACAATAACTTATTACTATAAAAAAAAAATCTGGGTTTTTTGTTGCTGTTGAGTGAAACTCATCACAATATGGCTGTTCTTAAACTGTGTAATCTTGTGGGTTTAGCATCATAATTTATCATCTCTTGTCATTATCCCAGCTTCTGCCACAAGCCTGTTCTGAGTCAGTGGCTGTGTGTAACAGCACTGCTTTTTTGTTGCAGAGGAACATAAAGAGCTGGTGCCTCCAGAATTCTTCCTCTTAGTCTAAGTGACTGCACACTGAAACCAAGGTCTGGCAAAGTCCTGTATAAAAGTACGTTCCTCCTGTATCATGAATAAGTTTTAATGGAAATTCCCCTTCTGATCCATTTGAGCTTCTAGAAAAGCTCTCACGTCTCCTGCTACCAAAAAGGCGTGTTCCTACCTGAGGAAGACCAGTCCATTGAGCTGTTCACAGTAACCACCACAGGGTCCAAGAAGGCAGAGATGGCAGCTGTACTCCCAAAGGGTCTCTTTCCAGGTACAGCTGTGGCACTTGAGGACATGGTTTGGTAGTGGACTTGGCAGTATTAGGTTAATGGTTGGACTTGATGATCTTAGAGGTCCTTTCCAGCCTAAATGACTCTAAATGCTGCCAATCCTGGAACAAGAGCGCAAAGCTTTACATCCTTTTTCTAGGATGTTTCCTAATTTGGAAGCAGGTTTTTGAAGATTTAACCAGAAGGAACATAGTAAAGTACCAAACCCACCACCTCCTTCTCCTGAAGGGTGCCATAAGAGCACAAGTTGCACTTCTGTGCATATCAAACAAAACCCAGATGAAAATACTGCAGCTCAGTGCACGTGCAGTAGAGATTTTGCCTGCTGGAAGCTCTCACTTTTCCCAGCTCACACTCCATTTGCGTGTCACTATCTGTTCACTGCAAATTTAGCCTGCGTCCTTTGAGGCAGCTTGGCTTATCTTTCCTTCATGGCCACTTCCTGATGCTACTTACCCCACCCTCGGATTGTCCTGTTAAAGACTGGATGCAACAGGGCTAGTCACTAAGAATTCTTAAAGAGATTAAAGCTATGTCATAGAGAGCAGTGCTTTCAGAAAGTGCTGGGAGAAGAAGAGTGGGGCATGGAGGGAAGACACGACTTGAAATACCTCAGGGAGGGACCTCTTCTTTTCTTCTGAATAGGAACCACTCAAAACCACATTCTAAAAGCAACAACAGCTGAGCACTAAAAGGGGGAATGAATTTTTTTTTAGCTACTCTAAGCCACAAGTGACCTGCAGTAATTCCCTGTGAGTTGCTGACGTTACTCAGCTTTACATGGGATTTGACTGAACAGAATCTGGCCCTTCGGTCCACCCCTTCCTTGACGCTTTGCTAGTTCTCAGCTCCTCCTGGCTGCCTCAGCAGCAGTCAGGCAGGTCTGTAACAGCTGAAGAATGGCTGGTGCATCGTGTGTGCTTTGGCCAAGACAGAACTGCTAATTAGTTAACTGGAAACACAGTTCACTTCCCTGCATTTACCAGAGCCTCACTCCAAGAAAAGCTTAGCGTTTCAGGGAACCTAAAATCAGTTGGAGGACTTACAGTGGGCTGACCAGGTTTTCAGTTTTTTGAGACTTCAGGTTAAAGCCTCAACTTCAGTCTCAAAAACGGTGGATGTGAGGAGCACTGCGAAGCCATGACGATTGCAGGCAACCTCCTGACATGCCTGGCATAGTCCCCAGGAAGGCACAGGATGGAGCATCTGAATCCTTTGTCACAGGCTGGGCCTGAGAAGGGCTTTGGGTGAACTCAGTGCACCCTGTCACAAGGGCAGATTCTCATTTTGGGCACAACAAGGTTAAACAGTACTAGCTGAGACACAAATCCACCTGTCTCTACCTTTCCCTGTTCCTCCATGCTGGCAGTGCCATGTTTAGAAAGCTTTCAGTTTAGTATCTCTATTTTTGCACTTACCCTCTTTGCTCCTTTGGGGAGTAAAAAGTACCCAAAATAGTAGCAGTGAATTGCAGCTGAGTGCAAGCTCACCAGAAGGCATTGTATGGATGCCCTGAGACACACTGCTGAGCTTTTCTCCACGTAGAGCAGCAACAACAAACCAGGCATTGCTCAGCTCCATGTGCACAACCCAACTGGAATGGCATGGCCACGTCCATCAGGCAAGCTGCCTACTGTTCCTGGCTCTCTGAGGTGCCATCCACACAGCACTTACTCCATGGAGCAAAGCTTCACACTTCATGATTGGTTCGCTTCCAGAACTCCAGATTAGCAACAGAGACAACTGCTTCATCAATGACTCTGTCAGAGAGGGCGTAATCTCAGATTCTGGAGAGCCTGCTTAAAATCAGAAACATTCAGTACTACTAAGCTCTTCCTGCATGAATTTAGTCTTAAAATCAAGTGCAACAGAAACACTCTCTTCTATACCCATGTTACTTTCAGGGTCCACAGCTGAAATGACGCAGGGCCAGCAAAAGCAGCATTTGCATTTGCAAAGTCAAGGGAAGCTTGGCTGCAGTTTGACAGGAGGTAAGGGGGGAGGACGAGGAGGAGGTCTGGGCAACTGAGAAATCGTGTCAGTATTATGCTTGGAAAAAAACACATGCTATCAGATATATGGCCATTCCATTGGTAGTGCCCTGGGCTAGTTACCTGCTGGTGCGCGTTGTGGCAAAGCTCCGTCAACATCAGCAGAGCTGCACAGTGTCACACCAGGCAGAGACTGGGCCTGCAGCATCTGCTGCT